GGAGTGAACTAGTCTCTAAGAGTTTGTTATTTTCAGCAGATTTTGTACTAGTTTTTAGGTCTTTTAAGTTAGTATTTCTCATATAAATTGTAGTCAAAATGCAGTAAAATAATATAGAATTTTCAGCTTCATTTCCTTTTACATCTATTCCGGTATACTGTTTTTATTTTCTTGTCATCTTCCTCTATTATTTCCCTTAATTTCCTTTTATCAAGAACCAACAATTGGTATCAGAGCCATCTTATTCAGGGACCTAAGTAAAATTTTTTCTTGAGCGAGATGGAGACTAAAATGAGTTTTTCTCAATTGGCTCCTCCAGTCTTTGATGGTGAAAATTACCAGTTATGGGCAGTGAATTTGGAGACTTACTTGGAGTCTTTAGATCATTGGGAGGCCGTGGAAGAGGATTATGATGTTCTTCCGCTGCCTAACAATCCCACCGTGGCCCAGATCAAGAGTCACAAGGAAAAGAAAACCAGGAAATCAAAGGCGAAAGCAACTTTGTTTGCCGGTGTGTCTGCAACAATATTCACGAGAGTTATGGCTCTCAAATTAGCAAAAGAAATTTGGGATTATCTGAAGGGAGAATATACAGGAGATGAAAGAATACGAGGCATGAAGGTGTTGAATTTAATAAGGGAATTCGAGTTGCAGAAAATGAAGGAATCTGAGACTGTCAAAGAATACTAAGATCGGTTGCTTGACATTGTTAACAAGGTAAGATTGCTTGGTACTAAATTTAAAGATTCAAGAATTATTGAAAAAATTCTTGTTACGGTGCCTGAAAAATATGAAGTATCCATAACTACCTTGGAAAATACAAAGGATCTATCCAAGATTACCTCGGTAGAATTGTTAAATACATTGCAGGCACAAGAGCAAAGGAGGCTTATGAGGTAAGACGGTATGGTTGAAGGAGCCTTGGCAGCCAACCATAAAACTCAAAGCAAGAGTAATAATTCAAAGAAAAATTACCCACCTTGTTAGCACTGTGGCAAAAAAGGCCATCCACCATTCAAATATTGGAAGAAGCTAGATGCAAAGTGCAAAATTTGCAACCAACTTGGTCATGAAGCTGTAATTTGCAAAGGCAAATATAACAAGCATGAAACAGATGCCCAAGTCGCCAATGAAGAAGAAGAAGATCACTTTTTTGTGGCAACTATTCTTTCAACCAAAAAGTTTGATTTTTGGTTGACTGACAGTGGTTGTACAAACCACATGACATATGATAGAAATCTTTTCAAAAGAGTTCACGTCTATAGGAAATAAGAGTCAGAATTAGAAATGGTGATTATATTCTTGCTAAAGGAAAATGAACTGTTGCAATCCCAACAAATTCAGGTACTAAGAAAATTTCAGATGTTCTTTATATTCCTGATATTGATCAAAATTTATTAAGTATTGGACAACTAATGGAAAAGGATCTAAAGTATCCTTTGAAGATAAATATTGTCTCATAGATGCAACTGGACTTGAGATTTTAAGGGTTGAAATGAGAGGTAAAAACTTCTCATTTGATCCAACCGAAGATGAAGAATGGAGCCAAAAGAATCTACAAAGTGCAGATAATCCTCCAACTGAGGACATATGTGAAAATGAGGTAAGGAAAAAGTTGTCAATATTTCAGAAAATGCAAATCTGGAAGAAAGTTGACAAGTCTCAAGGCAAGATGCAAATGAAGCCGAAAGAAGAGCCAACTTATTTCATTGACAATCATGAGATGAAGCAAAATAGAGAAGTGAACTCGATTCACTGCAAGTCCAAAGATCAGTTGGCAGATTTACGTACAAAGTCGCTTCCAGTTAAAGGTTTACAAGGCAGAAATTCAGAATTTGCAGCTTCAAAAGCAAGGAGGAGTGTTAGAAATATGCTTTAGAAGCTGCTCTCAGTAAATTTTTTTTACTGTTTCAGCTTAAGAGTTTTTACTGCAGTAATTTAGTTTGAATTTGAAATAATTTTGAACTAGTCTTTAGGAGTGAAGTAGTCTCTAGGAGTTTGTTATTTTCACCAGATTTTGTGCTGATTTTTAGGTCTTTTAAGTTAGTATTTCTCTTAAAAATTATAGTCCAAATGCAGTAAAATAATATAGAATTTTCAGCTTCAGTTCCTTTTACATCTATTCCAGTATACTGTTTTTATTTTCTTGTCATCTTCCCCTGTTACTTCCCTTAATTTCTTTTATCAAGAACCAACAGTGTTGTATAAGTACAACTGACTCCATGTACTATGTAAGTGTCGAGTCTAACTCGACGAAGTAGTGACAAGGCTATAGCAAGACACTCATCTCATGCCCCGAGCCTGGGGGCGAGACCGACACCCAGTGCCTCACCTATTCTTGCGTATCACTTGCGACTAAGAGACTCTGATATGTAATGTCATACTTTGGCAATGGGCACCATTACAAGATAATGTGCGATGCAAAATATAAAACTGCATAGAGACTAACGCTGACTAAATGTCAACATACAGTAGGGCCGGCAGGGCCGTCATAATTACTACAACTAACAAGCCAACAAAATATACGTACAGGGCCTACAAGCACAACATACTGCACTAACTGACAGGATATGTCTACAAGCCTCTACTTATAGATGTACTGTGATCGGAACGGGGCCTCGACCTACACATAACCTATCTACATATATGTACAAGATGTACACCAAACTTCTAGACCCGGCAACTCCGAAGGACGGGGAGCTTACCGTTAAAGCTGAACTCGGGCAACACCTACTGAGGAGGTCTACCCGTCTGTCTATCTGAACCTGCACGCATGAAATGCAGCGCCCTCGGAAAGGGACATCAGTATGAAATAATGTACCGAGTATGTAAGGCAATATACTGAAAGATGAAACTAAACTGATAATATAATAACTGAAAGCAACTGGGAGTCAAAGAAAATCTGAAGATATACTCACCTGCTGATACTGACTCTATTCTCTCAATATAATAAGTAAAATAATTGTCTGGCCCTATAAGGATATATATATATATATATATATATATATATATATATATATATATAATTGCTCTGCCGTAGTAGGCTCGCTCATAGGCGCTCAGCCATACTAGCCTTTATATCTCGACCAAATGGGCTCGCTCATAGGCGCTCGACCATAGTAGGATCGGTATATAACTTACCATCTGATCAGAGGTTTTCCAATAGGGGCCTGCCCATCGATTATAGCTCGATGGTAATGAAAATACTGTAACACTGTATATATAGACTCTCTGCTCTCTTGTTTGGAAGAAGGAAATATTCAATTGACACGGTTATAGAGAGAATCAATTAATGGAACGTGAATACATTGGAATTTTTCTGTCTCTTTAATAAATTAACTCTAAAAGTTCTGTTTAAATTTGTTATGGAACTCATGTATAAGAAAAAATGACACTTTGCATCCTATGATATTGGTATACGCCAACCTTTGAGAATGTCTGCTCATATGAGATCCATGGAACATATACACTATTATCGGAAACAGACTTACAAGATTAGGGAAATATACGTAAATTCCGGAATATGAATTTTTCTTTATGTCTTGTTATCAAACTTGTGTAATTATGAGATCATGCAAAATGAAGGAAGAGCTTAGCCTTAACATACCTGGAGTAGGAAGAAATCCATACGATATTTTTGAAAAAGATTGTACCGTACTCCCTTAGAACCGTAAAATTTTTACGTTGTTAAGCTTCTAATAATCGTCGTTGGATTTTGGTTGAAAGATGTTTTGTTGACAGCTTGCTAACGTTCTGGGTGTAAGAACTTTGGTTGAATGGCTAACGTTGATCTTGGTTGAAAGAAGTGTTTGTTGTAAAAATGCTTAACAATCTGATGGCATAGTCTTTGGTATGGGAAATGTAAGAAATGACTTATTTGTTGAAAGAGTTTTGTTGTAAGAATGAGTTTTGTTGTAAGAATTAGTACCATTATGCCACCTGATCAAGAATGACTCTTAGTCATTTCTTTAGCTAGCTGCCACGTTTTGGGGTTGTCTCATCTCATAGTTAATTTATTAATTAGGTTATATCCCGATATCCAGTAATTAACCAATTACCCGCATAACTAAGAATTGTCTCAAATTACTTAAAATTCTACTTATTTTTAATATATTTTATACATCATACTATCGTGGTCATATGGTACCTTGCATGGTACTAGTCCATAAGTATCGGGTATTATCGCTCGACCCGTAGTTTATTCCAATTCGACTACCTTCAATGAAACTCATTTTCTTTAATTCGTATACCCTTTACTTCATGGCACTTACTTATTGCTTGGTATAAATAGCATAAATATGCCAACATCAAGGTGGCCTATTCATGGTTTGAGTTGTGGGAAGATTCCCAAGAGGAGGGGAGCCCTCCGGCGAGGTGGAGCGAGTTTGCCGACGCCTTTGTAGATCATTTCCTGCCTGCTGAGAGAAGGGTAGCCCATGCAGCAGAATTTGAGAATCTAAAACAAGGTAGCAAAAGTGTGTGGGAGTACCACATGGAGTTTGCCCGTCTGTCCAAGTATGCTATTCACATGTTGCCTACAATGGAGGCCAGGGTGTGCCGATTTGTTCAGGGCCTTAATCATTTGACTGTTAATGAGGCTTCTACAGTTGCCTTGAATTCTGACATGAATTATGGGAAGATGGTGGCATTTGCTCAGGCCACAGAGAACCGTAAACTGAAGAGCAGGATGGAAAGAGAGGGTTACAGCAAGGCTCGGTCAGCGGGAAACTTGGGAGAGTCACTAGGTGGGGGAAGATCAGCTTTCAGGGGAGGATCATCAGGGCGGTCCCAGTTTGTTGCACAATCTTCAGCCAGTGCACCGCCATTAGGGCCCAGCCAGCAGCAGTAGTGGTGTCTTTCAGGCCCAGTCAGAGCAATAGGGGATCCCACCAGCGGGGTCAGTCAGGAGAGAGATCCCAGCAGCAGCAGAGGTCCCCGTGCCCCAGGTGCGGGAAGATGCACTCAGGGATTTGCTACATGGAGTTACCCGTATGCTATGGATGCGGATGAGGGGCCATAGTCAGAGGCATTGTCGTGTATCCCACCAGGGTGCGGGTAGGGGCACAACACAGCCAGCCAGCCCAGCACCTGCTACATCTTCAGCCCCCTCTCCAGCTCGAGGTACCTCAGCACCCGTGGGGCGTGGTGCAGCTAGGGGTGGTGTGCTGAGTTCGGGAGGACCCAGTCGGTTCTATGCTATGAGTGGTCGCCAGACTGCAGAGGCTTCTCCAGATGTTGTTACAGGTATTCTGACTGTCCAATCTCATGATGTGTATGCACTTATTGACCCCGGTTCCACCTTGTCCTATGTTACCCCTTATGTTGCTATGGAATTTGGGATAGAACCAGAACAACTTCATGAACCATTCTCGGTATTTACTCCGGTGGGTGAGCCTATTACGGCTGCACGAGTTTATAGGGGTTGTGTTGTTACGGTACGTGGTAGGGATACCATGGCCGATCTTATTGAATTGGGGATGGTCGATTTTGATGTAATAATGGGAATGGATTGGCTTTATTCATGTTTTGCCAAACTTGATTGTCGGACTAGAACTATGAGGCTTGAATTTCCTAATGAGCCCGTTGTGGAATGGAAGGGAGACAATGTAGTGCCAAAAGGTCGGTTTATTTCTTACCTTAAGGACGCAAGGATGATCAAGAAGGGGTGTATCTATCATTTAGTCCGGGTTACGGACACCGATGCCGAGGCACCTAGCCTTGAGTCCGTGCCAGTTGTGAATGAATTTCCGGATGACCTTCCAAATGAGCTCCCTAGAATCCCACCAGACAGGGAGATTGATTTTGGGATCGATGTGATGCCAGGCACGCAGCCTATATCAATTCCACCTTATAGAATGGCACCAACATAATTGAAAGAGCTAAAGGAACAATTGAAGGATCTGTTAGAGAAGGGTTTCACCCGGCCGAGTGTGTCACCATGGGGCGCACCGGTTTCGTTTGTAAGGAAGAAAGATGGGTCTCTACGGATGTGTATTGACTACCGACAACTTAACAAAGTCACAATCAAAAATAAATACCCTCCACCAAGGATAGATGATTTGTTTGATCAATTGCAAGGTGCTAAGTGTTTCTCAAAAATTGACTTGCGGTCCGGGTATCATCAATTGAAGATAAGGGACCAGGATATTCCAAAAACCTCTTTCAGGACATGGTATGGGCACTTTGAGTTTCTGGTGATATCTTTTGGGCTAACAAATGCCCCGATAGCTTTCATGCATCTTATGAATCGAGTCTTCAAGCCTTTTCTAGACTCCCTTGTGATAGTGTTCATTGACGATATTCTTGGGTATTCCCGAAGTCGGGAGGACCATGCGGACCATCTCAGGGTAGTTCTACAGACTCTTCAACAGCACCAATTGTATGTGAAATTTTCGAAATGTGAATTTTGGCTTGAATCTGTCACGTTCTTGGGTCATGTCGTCTCCAGGGAAGGAATTATGGTTGATCCTCAAAAGATTGCAGCAGTGAAGAATTGGCCTAGACCTACCACTCCAACAGAGATTCACAATTTCTTGGGTTTGGTCGGGTACTAATAAAGATTTGTGGAGGGATTTTTTACTCTTGCCTCTCCATTAACTAAATTGACGCAAAAAGCAGTTAAGTTCCAGTGGTCCGATGCTTGTGAAAGGAGCTTCCAGGAATTGAAATCAAGATTGACTACAGCACCGGTATTAATCCTGCCAGAGGGTACAGAGATATTTGTGGTGTATTACAATGCTTCAAGGATTGGGCTTGGGTATATGCTAATGCAACACGGCAAGGTTATAGCCTACACTTCTAGGCAACTCAAGAATCATGAAAAGAACTATCCAACCCATGACTTAGAGCTTGCGGCAGTGGTGTTTGCACTAAAGATTTGGTGATATTATTTGTATGGGGTCCATGTGGATGTATTTATGGACCACAAGAGCCTTCAATATATTTTCAAACAAAAGGAGTTGAATCTGAGACAGAGGAAGTGGCTCGAGTTACTCAAGGACTATGACATTGATATTCTCTATCACCCGGGGAAGGCCAATGTCGTGGCGGATGCTCTTAGTCGGAAATCTATGGGAAGTTTGGCTCATTTGAAGGCATATCAGAGGCCGTTGGCCAGGGAGGTTCACTAGTTAGCTAGTTTAGGAGTTCGTCTTGCGGACTCTAGCGAACGGGGAGTGATCGTGCAGAATAGGGTTGAATCATCGCTTGTGGCGGAAGTGAAAGAGAAGCAATTCAACGATCCATTGTTAGCACAACTGAAAGAAGGGATTCATATACACAAGACCACAGCTTTTTCTTTTGGCATGGATGATGGTACCCTACGGTACGAAGGTCGCCTATGTGTTCCGATATTGACGGTCTTCGGGAAAGGATCATGGCAGAAGCTCACACTTCCAGGTATTCCGTGCACCCAGGTTCTACAAAAATGTATCATGATCTCAAGGAAGTTTATTGGTGGAACAACATGAAAAGGGATGTGGCGGAGTTTGTGGCAAAATGTTCGAACTGTCAGCAAGTGAAAGCCGAACATCAAAGGCCCGGTAGATTTGCTCAAAACACAGAAATTCCAATGATGAAATGGGAAATGATCAACATGGATTTAGTGGTAGGGTTACTGCGCACTCCGCGCAAGTTCGACTCAATTTGGGTAATCGTGGATCGACTCACAAAATCAGCGCACTTCTTGCCATCCAAATCTACCGACACAGTGGAACAATATGCTCAGTTGTATATCAAAGAAATATTCAGGTTGCATGGCACTCCAGTCTTAATCATTTCGGATCGAGGGGCTCAGTTCGCGGCAAACTTTTGGAAGAAATTTCAGCAAGGCTTGGGTACGCAGGTAAATCTTAGTACGGCTTTTCACCCTCAGACCGACGGACAAGCGGAGTGGACTATTCAGACGCTTGAGGACATGTTGCGTGCTTGTGTTATTGATTGCAAAGGTAGCCGGGATGATCATTTGCCACTCATAGAGTTTGCTTATAACAACAGCTTCCATGCTAGTATCCAGATGGCACCATTTGAGGCGTTGTATGGTAGAAGATGTAGGTCTCCCATTGGGTGGTTCGAGGTTGGAGAAGCTGAAATGATAGGGCTGGACCTTGTGCATCAGGCCATGGAGAAAGTCAAAATTATTAAGGAAAGGTTGAAAACTGCTCAGAGTCGCCAAAAGTCTTATTCGGACATTCGTCGAAGAGATTTGGAGTTCAAAGAAGATGATTGGGTATTTTTGAAGGTTTCCCCCATAAAGGGTATCATGCGGTTTGGAAAGAAGGGAAAATTGAGTCCGAGGTACGTCGGACCGTACAGAGTCATTCAGAGGATCGGTCAGGTGGCATGCAAGCTGGAGCTGCCACCCGAGATGTCATTGGTACACCCAGTTTTCCATGTGTCTATGTTGAAGAAGGTAGTGGGAGATCCGTCCACTATTGTGCCGGTTGAAACTATTGAGGTTAATGAAAAACTGTCATATGAAGAAATACCAGTTGCCATTCTTGACAGGCAAGTCCGAAAGTTGAGAAATAAGGAAATTGCCTCCGTGAAAGTGTTATGGCAGAACCAGCAGGTTGAGGAAGCCACTTCGGAAGCCGAGGAAGAAATGAAAAAGAAGTACCCGCATTTGTTTGTATAGCCATGTAATAACTCCTATGAATTTGGTTCCTATGAACTCAGTATCACTTGATTTGGTCTATGTAAAACTGTTCCGTTTTGGTTATATGTCGCCTATGGGGCCATGGTTGGTGTCGTTACGAGTTATGTCTTATCTATGGGTTGTGTATATGCTGTTAGGATATGTTTCTGAGGCTCTCTGGCAGGTGGATAGGCCTAGTTACAAAGGAAACTCTGGCAAAATTTTTGGAAATTTAGGGAGTTAGCCAAATTTGGGGCTGTTGATATGATTCATGATGTGAAAAAGCTGAAGTTGCATAAGGTTGCTAATAAGTGAACCTTGATCCTCATTCGAGGACGAATGATCTTAAGTGGGGGAGGATGTAAGGCCCCGTGAAATTCTTACTCAAAAACCCGAAATCTCGTAGTGCAGAGTTAGGAATATGTGTTACAAATTTACAAAATTCTTCACGGCGAGCAAGCTCGCCGCGGTTCGGACCTTTTGGATTGATCTGGGCATTAAAAAGTTAGGAAAAATATTTTTCAGAAAAGCGCGTTTCTGCGGTCCATTATGCGGTCGCATAATAGCTATGCGGACCGCATAGTGTCCGCAGAGTGAGGCAGGATGTTAGTTAGTTTTGAGGTCAACTATGCGGCCAATTTTGTGATCACATAATCAATATGCGGGCCGCATAGTCATCGCATAACCTCCTTGGAATTTTGCGAGGGGCAGTTCTACGGTGCATTATGCGACCGCAGAACAAGTATGCAGACCGCATTTTTGCCGCATACCCGGGCAGAATGTTCATGTTTTGAAGGTCATTTTGCGGTCCCTTTTGCGGCCGCATATCAATTATGCGGTTGCCTATGCGACCGCAGATTGAGTCGGGGCTCCTATTTTCTAACTTTTAAAACCCGACCCCATCTCATTAACAACACCCCATTACACCCTTTTATGCTATTTTCTACTGCATTTAGAGTGAGAGAAGGAGTTCTAGAGGGAGAAACTAATTCTCACCAAGTCACTACAATCCCTGCCCAAATCTTTGAAGATTTTCAAGTAATATTGCTAGGCCTTCATCCTAAGAGGTAAGAACTTGTGCCCTAACCTTAATGTCGAAGTTTTTATTAAAATAAGTGATTAACAAGTGGGTTCATGGGTATAAGGATTGATTATCTTGCATGCATGAATGATAATAGGGTATGGGGAGATTGTGAGCTAAAAATATAACAAATGGGGTGTTGGATGTTAAAATCTCTCACAAAAAGGTCCTAAAATCACAATGCACACTTAGTGGTTGATAATATATTCAAATGAGCTAGAATCTTAATCATCTCTCTATTTTTTGGTTCAACTTGTAATTTTCATAAAATAGATTGAAGCTGCTAAGAGTTCCGAAATTTTATAAGAAGTTAAGGAAAGCCTTATTGAGTTATGTATGGCTAAAACCCCCTCTTCTTAGAAATTGAGCTCCTTTGGTGTCCATGCAAATGTTGTAAGACCGAAAATTTATTGATGTATTGTGACGACCCAAAGGGTCATCACCTATTTCCTCATCCACTCCGTTCTTCCGAGGTCTTGAAAACCTAATTGTTACTTGCCTCGATTTGCGTGCGCAGTTCGGGCGTGTAGCCGGAAGGCTTATATATGAATTATGTGTGAAAAATGATGAATTTTGATATTAATATGATTAAAGTTGACTTTGGTCAACATTTTGGGTAAACAGACCCGGACCCGAGATTGGACGGTCCCGGAAGGTCCGTAGAAAAATATAGGACTCGGGCATGTGCCCGGAGTCGAATTTCGATGTCTAGAGCCCGAGGAAAGAATTTTTCTGTGAAATTGTTTCTCTGAAATTATTAAGGAAAAAGGAAATGAAAATTGATTAAAAGACTGTGGTATTGGGCTCGTATTATGATTCCGACGCCCGGTACAAGTCTTAAATATGTGTTAAGCGCTTTCTGTAAAATTTGGTCGAAATCGGACGTCATTTGACGTGTTTCGGACCCAAATATCTAAAGTTTGAAGTTTATGAAGTTATAATGAAAAATGATGAATTTGGGGCTTGATTCAATGATTTTGATGTTATTTTGGCGATTTGATCGCACGGATAAGTTCGTAGGATGTTTTTGAGGTTGTGTACATGTTTGGTTTGGAGCCCCGAGGGCTCGGGTGAGTTTTGGATAGGCCACGGGGTGAAATTTTGGACTTAAGGAATTGCAGGTCTGCAGGTTTCGCATTTCCCAAATATTTTTCGCAATTACCAGGATTGTTCGCATTTCCCAAACTTTCTTCGCAATTCCCAGGTTCGCATTTCCCAAACCATTTTCGCAATTCCCAAGCCTGTTCGCATTTCCCAAACTTTCTTCGCAATTCCCATGTTCGCAATTCCCAAACCATTTTTGCAATTCCCAAGCCTGTTCGCATTTCCCAAACTTTCTTCGCAATTCCCATGTTCGCAATTCCCAAGCCTGCTGGGTTCGCAATTGCGAACCCATGTTCGTATTTCCCACATCTGAGACCTGCAATTTTTCATAATTAGACGAATTTTAACCCTCTTTTCTTCATTCTTTCAAAACCCAAACTCCATAGGCGATTTTCCAAGAAACCTATATTCTCCAAATCATTTGTAAGTCAATTTTTACTTAACTTCTTCAATCTTTAACATCATTAGACATGTTTTTATCTTAAAATCAAGGATTTCCATGGGTGAAAATAAGGATTTTGGGTAGAACTTAGGTTTTCTTAAAATTGGGGATTTGGACCTCCATTTGAGGTCCGATTTCAAAACAAAACATAGATATGAACTCATGGGGGAATGGGTAACCGGGTTTTGGTTCGAACCTCGGGTTTTGACCACGTGGGCTCGGGGGCGTTTTTGGAATTTTTGGGAAAAACTTGGGAAAATCATTTTTATGCATTCAAATTGATTCATATAGTGTTTATTAAAGTAATTGAACAATTTGTGATTAGATTCGAGCGAATTGGAGGTGGAACCGCGAGGTAAAGCGATAGTTGAGGATTAAGTGGATTTCAAGGCTTTGAGCTAAGTGTTTGGTTTAACCCTTGCTTGAGGGAATAGGAGTTGAGTCTTGTTGCTAATTGCTATGTGATCGAGTACGATGTATAGGCATGGTGACGAGTATCTATACATTGGTGTCTAGCATGACCGTGAGTCCTTATAATGTGATGATCATGGCTTGGTTGTGAACTCCGTGTTTATTGGAGGATTTCTATAAACATGTGAACGGTGATATGATCATTTGATCCTAGGAGCATTGGCTTGAATTGTGATACGAATATTGAAAGTATATGAAATGACTTGAATCTGTGGAGCGTTGGCTCAAGATGGTAGAGTTGATTATAAGATAAAAAAAGTAAGAAAGAGAAAGCGTTGTTGATTATTCCCTTGCCGGGACGTTTGGTTGAACTTGTTGGTTTCTTTCCCTTGCCGGAATTTTTGTCAAATATTTGCTTATTTTTTTTATGCCTCTTAATCGTGACTGTTGTTTGGGGAGTCAGACTGTTAAATGATATGGATCGGGTTGCGCGCCGCAACAATAATATGTGAGGATCGGGTTGCGCACCGCAACAATAATACATGATAAATGATGTGGGTCGGGTTGCACGCCGCAACAGTGGTATTTGTGGATCGGGTTGCACGCTGCAACAGTGGTATTTGTGGATCGGGTTGCACGCCGCAACAATGGTAAATTGTGGACCGGGTTGCACGCCGCAACAGTTATTGATACCATGTGTTTATATTGAGTATTGTTTTCCTTGTTCATTGTGAATCTAAGCTGCTTTAGTTTGTTACTCGGAATTACTGTTACTATTGTTATCTCCCCACAGCATGTTTCCCCCTCCCATATTGCTAGTTGTTTGGTATTTTGTTTCCGTTGTATATTTATAACTGCACAGGTTTATGTGGTGTCCGGTCTAGCCTCGTCACTACTTCGCCGGGGTTAGGCTAGACACTTACCAGCACATGGGGTCGGTTGTGCTGATGCTACGCTTCTGTGCATTTTTTGCACAGGTCCAGGTTCTGAGGAGCAGCAGCAGCATTAGTACGGGAGCAGGCTTTCATTATCACGAGACCGAGGTAGCCTTGCAGGCGTCCGCAGGCCCGGCGTCTCTTCTTTATGTTCTCTTTTAGACTGTTGCCTCCTTGTCTCGAGACAGACAGCTTCTCTGTTTCTTTCAGACCTTTGTATTTAGTATATTCTTAGTGGTTCATGAGTGATGTGACACCAAATCTTGGGTAGAAGCTATTATTAACTGTTTCGCGTTTTGATTCAGATTTATAAATCAGACTTCCGCTATTATTCTTAGTAAATTTCATGTTCTATATTGATGCTATAAATTGTTAAAATAATTGTTTAGTGATGAAAAGGTAAATAAGTTGGCTTACCTAGCTACCACGAGTAGGCGCCGTCACGATCCCGATGGTGGGAAATCCGGGTCGTGACAAGTTGGTATCATAGCACTAGGTTACATAGGTCTCACAACTCACGGACAAATTTAGTAGAGTTTGAGGGGTCGGTACGGAGACGTCTGTACTCGCTCCCCAGGGGCTACTGAGTTAGGAAAAATCTCTCATTTGTTCTTTCTTGTCGTGCGATTTGGTTTCTCAATGCTGATTGAATTTATACTCTATTCTTTCGCAGATGGCGAGAACACGCGCTTCCTCATCCATCGATCAGCAGTCCGAGCCCCAGGCAGCTCCCGCTAGGGGTAGGGGACGTGGCCATGCTAGGGGCTGTGGTAGGGGTAGAGCCCAGCCACCAGTAGCAACACCAGTGGCGGAGCATCAGGTTGACCTTGGCGAGGAGGTTCCGGCCCCAGCCCAGATAGTTCCGGCAGGCCCAGCTCAGGTCCCAGAGGGGTTTATTACTACCCCTGTTCTTCAGGACGCCTTGGTCCAGTTGGTTGGCCTCATGGAGAGTGTCACCCGAGCAGGATTGCTTCCTATAGCACAACCACTTCCCAGGCTGGAGAAGGAGCCCAGACTCCTACTGCACGTACTCCGAAGCAGGTAGCTCCCCAGACTCAGATTCCACCGGGTCAGCCAGCTGCGATAGTTTAGCCGGGGGTAGTTGCACGGGCCGGTGATGGAGCGGCTATGTCCGCAGATGCTTTGTGGAGGCTGGACAGGTTCACCAAGCTCTTCACTGCTACATTCAGCGGAGCTTCTTCTGAGGACCCCCAGGATTTCTTATATAGCTGCCACGAGGTTCTTCGGAACATGGGCATACTGGAGTCCAATAGAGTTGATTTTGCGGCTTTTCGTCTATCTGGATCCGCCAAGACTTGGTGGAGGGATTACTGTTTAGCCAGACCAGCAGGGTTGCCGCCTTTGACTTGGGATCAGTTTTCAGAGTTGTTTCTAGAAAAGTTTCTTCTCGTTACTCAAAGGGATGCTTACCGGAGACAGTTTGAGCGTCTCCAGCAGGGGTCTATAATGGTCACTCAGTATGAGACCCGGTTTATCGATCTAGCTCGCCATGCCCTCGTCATACACCCCACTGAGAGGGAGAGGGTGAGGAGATTTATTGATGGTTTGAACCAGCCTATTCGTCTTCAGATGGCCAGAGAGGCAGGTAGTGACATTACTTTTCAGGAGGCGGCCAATGTGGCCCGGAGGATCGAGATGGTTCTGCCACAGGGGGGGTGGTCATAGGGCAGATAAGAGACCCCGTCACTCAGGTCGATTCAGTGGTGCCTCATCTGGAGGCAGGGATTCTTATGATAGGGGTCAGCCTTCCAGGCCCTTTCAGTCAGCCCTCCAGGTTTCGCAGGGTGCCCCAGGTGATCGTGGTTTTCGTGGGCATTATTCCGATCAGCACTCACTCAGTGCACCGCCAGCTCCCATCAGTGCACAGCCTCTTCGGAGTTTTCGTGGAGGTCATTCGGGTCGTCAGGGCCAGTCTCATCGTACGGAGGGATGTTATGAGTGTGGTGAGTATGGTCACATCAGGAGAGCTTGCCCTAGATTGAGGGGTACACAGTCGCAGCAGCAGGGTCCTCGCCCCATGATTCAGGCACCAGGTGACCCACAGCCTGCCCATCCAGCCAGGGGCGGGGGTAGGGATCATAGAGGTGGAGGTCGAGACCGTAGAGGTGGAGGCCGGACCGCCAGGGGTAGGGGTCAGCCGGTAGCCGATCGTCCCAGAGACATGGTTCAGGGAGGTGGGGCTGAGCCCCGGTTTTATGCTTTGCCAGCCAGACCAGAGGCTGAGTCGTCAGATGCCGTTATTACAGGTACTATTCTGGTTTGTGATAGAGATGCGTCAGTGCTATTTTCCCTGGGTCGACATATTCGTATGTGTCGTCTTATTTTGCACCCTACCTGGCTATGTCTAGTTATGCTTTGGACATTCCTGTTTATGTATCTACACCGGTGGGTGACTCCATAGTAGTCGACCGGGTGCATCGTTCCTGTGTGGTTGTGTTTGAGGGTCTTGAGACCCGTGTTGATTTATTGCTTTCAGATATGGTGGATTTCGACGTCATATTGGGGATGGACTTGTTGTCCCCGTATCATGCTATCTTAGATTGTCACGCCAAGACCGTGACCTTGGCTTTGCCAGAATTGCCCCGACTAGAGTGGAGAGGGACCCCAGGTCATACCACCCGCAGTGTTATTTCATATGTTAAGGCTCGACGCATGGTCGAGAAGGGGTGTTTAGCTTATCTGGCGTATGTTCGCGACTCCAGCGCAGAGGTTCCTTCTATTGACTCTGTTCCTGTTGTTCGAGAGTTCCCCGAGGTTTTCCCTTCAGACCTGCCGGGTATGCCGCCCGACAGGGATATTGATTTCTGTATTGATCTGGCTCCGGGCACGCAGCCCATTTCTATTCCGCCGTATCGTATGGACCCGCCAGAGTTAAAGGAGTTAAAGGACCAGTTGCAGGATTTCTAGAGAAGGGTTTTATCAGGCCTAGTGTTTCTCCTTGGGGTGCGCCGGTGTTATCGTGAAGAAGAAGGATGGTTCGATGCGGATGTGTATTGATTACCGGCAATTGAACAAAGTGACGATAAAGAATAAGTATCCACTGCCGAGGATTGATGATTTGTTTGACCAGCTTCAGGGAGCAAAGGTGTTTTCAAAGATAGACTTGAGATCTGGCTACCATCAGCTGAGGATTAGGGCGTCTGATGTCCCTAAGACTGCATTCTGCACTCGGTATGGGCACTATGAGTTTTTAGTCATGTCATTTGGGTTGACCAATGCCCCAGCAGCATTTATGGAGTTGATGAACTAAGTGTTCAGGCCATATCTAGACTTATTCGTGATAGTCTTTATTGATGATATTCTGGTGTACTCCCGCAGCCAGGAAGAGCACGAGCAGCACCTCAGAGTGGTTCTCCAGACTCTGAAGGATAGTCAGTTATATGCTAAGTTTTCGAAGTGCGAGTTCTGGTTGAGTTCGGTTGCATTTCTAGGTCATATTGTATTAGCAGAGGGTATTCAGGTGGACCCGAAGAAGATTGAGGCAGTCAAGAATTGGCCTCGACCAGCTTCAGCGACCGAGATTCGGAGTTTCTTGGGGTTAGCAGGTTATTACCGTCGGTTCGTGGAGGGATTTTCGTCTATTGCAGCCCCAATGACCAGGTTGACCTAGAAGGGTGCCCAGTTCAGATGGTCAGATGAGTGTGAGGCGAGCTTTTAGAAGCTCAAGACAGCTCTGACTACGGCAGCGGTATTGGTTTTGCCCACGGGTTCAGGGCCTTACACAGTCTATTGTGATGCTTCCCGTGTTGGGCTTGGTGCAGTATTGATGCAGGATGGCAAAGTCATTGCCTATGCTTCGAGACAGTTGAAGATCCATGAGAAGAATTATTCGGTTCATGATCTAGAGTTGGCAACTATTGTTCATGCTTTGAAGATTTGGAGGCATTATCTATATGGCGTGACGTGTGAGGTGTACACGGATCACAAGAGCCTTCAGTACCTGTTCAAGCAGAAGGAGTTGAGTGTGAGGCAGAGGAGGTGGTTGGAGTTATTGAAAGATTATGATGTTACTATCTTGTATCACTCGGGTAAGGCCAATGTGGTGGCCGATGCGTTGAGTAGGAAGTCCGCCAGCATGGGTAGTCTTGCTTATATCCCGGTCAGCCAGAGACCGCTTGCTTTAGATGTTCAGGCTTTGGCCAATCGATTGGCGAGATTAGATATTTCTGAGCCTAGCAGAGTGTTAGCTTGCACGGTCGCTCGTTCTTCTCTATTGGAGCGTATCCGTGACCGGCAGTTTGATGATCCCCATTTGTGTGTCCTGAGAGACACGGTGCAGCGTGGAGGTGCCACGAAGGTGACCTTAGATGATGATGGTGTTTTGAGATTGCAGGGGCGAGTTTGTGTGCCCAATATTGATGGGATTCGACAATTGATCTTAGCGGAGGCCCATAGTTCTCGGTATTCTATTCACCCGGGCGCCGCGAAGATGTATCAGGACTTGCGGCAACATTATTGGTGACGTAGGATGAAGAAGGATATTGTTGCGTATGTGGCTCGGTGTTTGAACTGTCAGAAAGTCAAGTATGAGCATCAGAGGCCCGGTGGGTTATTTCAGAGGATTGAGCTCCCCGAGTGGAAGTGGGAGAGGATTACCATGGATTTCGTTACTGTACTTCCGTTGACTCGGAAGAAGTTTGATGCTATTTGGGTCATTGATGATAGGCTGACCAAGTCAGCGCATTTCATTCCAGTGGCAGTCTCCTATTCATCCGAGAGGTTAGCTGAGATTTATATCCAGGAGATTGTCAGCCTTCATGGTGTGCCGGTATCCATCATTTCGGACGGGGGTACGCAGTTTACCTCGAGCTTCTGGAGAGCAGTTCATCAAGAGTTGGGCACCCAGGTTCAGTTCAGCACAGCATTCCATCCTTAAACGGACGGTCAGTCCGAGCGGACTATACAGATTTTGGAGGATATGCTCCGAGCTTTTGTCATTGATTTTGGAGGCTCGTGGGACCAGTTTTTGCCTTTAGCAGAGTTCGCCTACAATAACGGCTACCAGTCCAGCATTCAGATGGCCCCATATGAGGCGTTGTATGGTAGGCGATGTCGGTCTCCAGTCGGATGGTTTGAGCCGGGAGAGGCTCGGTTATTGGGTACAGACTTAGTTCAGGAGGCCTTAGATAAGGTCAAGATCATTCAGGAGAGGCTTCGTTTAGCTCAGTCTAGGCATAAGAGTTATGCAGACCATAAGGTCTGAGATGTAGCTTTTATGGTTGGTGAGCGGGTATTGCTTCGGGTGTCGCCTATGAAGGGCGTGATGAGGTTCGGAAAGAAGGGCAAGCTTTGCCCTAGGTACATTGGCCCGTTTGAGATTCTTGATCGAGTAGGAGAGGTGGCTTATAGACTTGCATTGCCACCTAGCTTATCAGCCGTGCATCCAGTTTTTCATGTGTCTATGCTTCGAAGGTATCACGGCGATCCTACCCATGTGTTAGACTTCAGCACTGTCCAGTTGGACAAGGATTTATCTTATGAGGAGGAGCCGGTAGCTATTCTAGACCGGCAGGTTCGTCAGTTGAGATCTAGGAGTTTTCCCTCTGCTCGTGTTCAGTGGGGAGGTCAGCCCCCTGAGGCCTCGACCTGGGAGTCCGAGTCTGATATGCGGAGCCGTTATCCACATCTGTTCCCCGACTCAGGTACTTCTTTCTTTTGTCCGTTCGAGGACGAACGGTTGTTTTAGAGGTGGAGGATGTGATGACCCAAAGGGTCATCACCTATTTCTCATCCACTCCGTGCTTCCGAGGTCTTGAAAACCTCATTGTTACTTGCCTCGATTTGCATGTGTAGTACGGGCGTGTAGCCGGAAGGCTTAAATATGAATTATGTGTGAAAAATGATGAATTTTGATATTAATATGATTAAAGTTGACTTTGGTCAACATTTTGGATAAAAGGACCCGGACCCGAGATTGGACGGTCCCGGAAGGTCCGTAGAAAAATATGGGACTCGGGCATGTGCCCGGAGTCGAATTCCGATGTCTAGAGCCCGAGGAAAGAATTTTTCTGCGAAATTGTTTCTCTGAAAATATTAAGCAAAAAGGAAATGAAAATTGATTAAAAGACTGTGGTAGCGAGCTCGTATTATGGTTCCGACGCCCGGTACAAGTCTTAAATATGTGTTAAGCGCTTTCTGTAAAATTTGGTCGAAATCGGACGTAATTTGACGTGTTTCGGACCCAAATATCTAAAGTTTGAAGTTTATGAAGTTATAATGAAAAATGATGAATTTGGGGCTTGATTCAATGATTTTGATGTTATTTTGGCGATATGATCGCACGGATAAGTCCGTAGGATATTTTTGAGGTTGTGTACATGTTTGGTTTGGAGCCCCGAGGGCTCGGGTGAGTTTTGGATAGGCCACGGGGTGAAATTTTGGACTTAAGGAATTGCAGGTCTGCAGGTTTCGCATTTCCCAAACTTTCTTCGCAATTCCCATGTTCGCAATTCCCAAACCATTTTCGCAATTCCCAAGCCTGCTGGGTTCGCAATTGCGAACCCATGTTCGCATTTCCCACATCTGAGACCTGCAATTTTTCATACTTAGACGAATTTTAACCCTCTTTTCTTCATTCTTTCAAAACCCAAACTCCATAGGCGATTTTCCAAGAAACCTATCTTCTCCAAATCATTTGTAAGTCAATTTTTACATAACTTCTTCAATCTTTAACATCATTAGACATGTTTTTATCTTAAAATCAAGGATTTCCATGGGTGAAAATGGGTATTTTGGGTAGAACTTAGGTTTTCTTAAAATTGGGGATTTGGACCTCCATTTGAGGTCCGATTTCAAAACAAAACATAGATATGAACTCGTGGGGGAATGGGTAACCGGGTTTTGGTTCGAACCTCGGGTTTTGACCACGTGGGCCCGGGGGCATTTTTGGAATTGTTGGGAAAAACTTGGGAAAATCATTTTTATGCATTCAAATTGATTCATATAGTGTTTATTAAAGTAATTGAACAATTTGTGATTAGATTCGACCGAATTGGAGGTGGAACCGCGAGGTAAAGCGATAGTTGAGGATTAAGTGGATTTCAAGGCTTTGAGGTAAGTGTTTGCTTTAACCCTAGCTTGAGGGAATAGGAGTTGAGTCTTGTTGCTAATTGCTATGTGATCGAGTACGATGTATAGGCATGGTGACGAGTATCTATACATTGGTGTCTAGCATGACCGTGAGTCCTTATAATGTGATTATCATGGCTTGGTTGTGAACTCCGTATTTATTGGAGGATTTCTATATGTTGTGAATAACATGTGAACGATGATATGATCATTTGATCCTAGGAGCATTGGCTCGAATTGTGATACGAATATTGAAAGTATATGAAATGACTTGAATCTGTAGAGCGTTGGCTTAAGATGGTAGAGTGGATTATAAGATAAGAAAAGTAAGAAAGAGAAAGCGTTGTTGATTATTCCCTTGCCGGGACGTTTGGTTGAACTTGTTGGTTTCTTTCCCTTGCCGGGATTTTTGTCAAATATTTGCTTATTTTTTTTATGCCTCTTAATCGTGACTGTTGTTTGGGGAGTCAGACTGTTAAATGATGTGGATCGGGTTGCGCGCCGCAACAAAGATATTGAGGATCGGGTTGCACGCCGCAACAATAATATGTGAGGATCGGGTTGCGCGCCGCAACAATGATACATGATAAATGATGTGGATCGGGGTGCACGCCGCAACAGTGGTATTTGTGGATCGGGTTGCATGCCGCAACAGTGGTATTTGTGGATTGGGTTGCACGCCGCAACAATGGTAAATTGTGGACCGGGTTGCACGCCGCAACAGTTATTGATACCATGTGTTTATATTGAGTATTGTTTTCCTTGTTCATTGTGAATCTAAGCTGCTTTAGTTTGTTACTCGGAATTACTGTTACTATTGTTATCTCCCCACAGAATTTTTCCCCCTCCCATATTGCTAGTTGTTTGGTATTTTGTTTCCGTTGTATATTTATAACTGCACAGGTTTATGTGGTGTCCGGTCTAGCCTCGTCACTACTTCGCCGGGGTTAGGCTAGACACTTACCAGCACATGGGGTCGGTTGTGCTGATGCTACGCTTCTGTGCATTTTTGCACATGTCCAGGTTCTGAGGAGCAGCAACAGCATTAGTACGGGAGCAGGCTTTCATTATCACGAGACCGAGGTAGCCTTGCAGGCGTCCGCAGGCCCGACGTCTCTTCTTTATGTTCTGTTTTAGACTGTTGCCTCCTTGTCTCGAGACATACAGCTTCTATGTTTCTTTCAGACCTTTGTATTTAGTATATTCTTAGTGGTTCGTGAGTGATGTGACACCAAATCTTGGGTAGAGGCTATTATTAACTGTTCCGCGTTTTGATTCAGATTTATAAATCAGACTTCCGCTATTATTCTTAGTAAATTTCATGTTCTGTATTGATGCTATAAATTGTTAAAATAATTGTTTAGTGATGAAAAGGTAAATAAGTTGGCTTGCCTAGCTACCACGAGTAGGCGCCGTCACGATCCCGATGGTGGGAAATCCGGGTCGTGACAAGCAATCAAATAATTAAGTGCAGCATTGAATAAATAAATCAATATGATAAACTAAGAAATCAAAATCAATATCCGAATAACAATAGTCATGAAAGAACCACAACCCTTGAACGTGAAGTTTAGCTCCACATAGACATGGTAGAAAAACAACAAATCATACAAAGAAACATAAAAATTACTAAGTTTGGTGGAAGAAAAGATGAAACACGGCCTCCACGGCGGCTCTGTGCTTGTGTTTTCCTCTCAAGAACGCCCTCCCCCCTTCAAAATACCGTTTTTTCATGTATATATACCAAGTAGGGTTGGGCCCAAACAATTATACCTTCTCCAATGTGAAAAAAGACATTTTTCCCGGGTGACTAGCGCGACTTCGCGCTAGAGCTCGCGCATTTTTCCTGACATTCTGCCTCCAGCTTCTAGACTAGCGCGACTTCGCGCTAACTTCGCGCATTTTTCACTCTGTTCCGTTCCGAATTTGGAAAAACGTAAAACAGAAAAGTTGTAGCACTATGAGTTAGCTTTCTAACAATATATTGTGGAGCTAAAATGGAGTTCTGAGCAAAATGTTATATCTATTTTACTAGACAGTACGCAATCTGCCTACTGGAGTCTTCGTTCGCTCTAGCTATCNATTGGCCTGATCGGGATCGAAAATGCGAAGATGAAATCACCACTGCATTTAGGATTATCTAAGTTGCAAGGTTAACGTTGAAAGTGGAAATGATGTGAAATATGGGGAAGAAGACCTTGAGTTACGAAATGTGGCCTAGTGCCAAGTATGATGAGATAACTGTGGCCCCAAGTGCCCATGAGTTGATATATTTAAATAAAGATTGAAATGAGATGATTAATGAAAAAGGAACAATGTCTTGGTAAGACGGCCTAGCCGATCGGGCCGTGATCGGACGCCATGCCGCACACATGGTGGTATTGTGCTGATATTGAATCCGGAAAGTGAGAATGAGATTGTGATTGAGATACATGTCTCAAATGAGGCAACCTAGCCGATCGGGTCGTGATCGGACTCCGCGTAAGAAAGCGGTGGTATTGTGAATGATGATGAACAGTATTAAATGCCCCAACCTAAAGCTATGGAAATTATGTGAAAGTTGTATGATCCTTTTATTTGATGACATAGTGATCGTTTAAAGCTTTTGATTGATCCTTATGATTTCTTTGTTCTTGTATGATAGTTCTTTTTAATGAGATGGTGTTTAGTTATACATACTAGTACTATTCCATGGTACTAATGTCCCTTTTGCCAAGGGCTCTACATATTTGAATGGATGTAGGTGGCTCCATAGCAGACAGTGCTGATCGTAGGTAGCGGAGCATCCTCCACTCAGCAACCTTGGTCAGCCCCTTTTCTTCTAGGGGTTATGCAGTGTGTCTTTTGTTATAAATTTTCACTTTTTGAGGTATAGTCGGGGCCTTGTTGCCGGCATTATCATAACTGTCTTTTGCTTCTTTAGAGGCTCCGTAGACGTTTGTGTGGGTTATGTACGGTGATGGATGGGTCAATGAACTATGTTGTAATTCTAAACTCTAGTTCTTCTAAACTGCACTTGTATGAAATCTTGGAAACTTAACTATGGTTTAAATGTGGTAATACGAAATGAACTAGCAATGTTATATGTACGATCTTTCCTACTTCTAAATATATGAAAGCATGGTTTTCTTGGTCATAGTGAGTTTGATAGAAAGTGTTCAAAAGGCTTGCTCAGTTGGGTTCACTCGATTGAGCGCCGGTCGTGCCTCCCGAGGTTGGGGCGTGACATGTTTACTCTGAGATACCTTGAAAAAATTTTGCCAGAGTCTCCTCCATACACTAGACTGAAACCACCCTGCGCGCAGCCAGAAAACATGCTATATATGCCACACTTGGCCTCATACAGTTGTTTATTATGAATTTGAAAAGTCAAAACTAAGAGCTTACAGGAGAACCTACTGGCCTGAATAGGGCTGTGCTGAGGTATCCCACCTCGAGCTATATCTTCAGTTTGAAATAGGTGGGGGTATTTAGACTTCATTTCTTCCTCTGCTTCCCATGTTATCTCTTCCACCTTTTTGCTTCTCCATAAAACCTTCACGGATGCTATCTCCTTATTTCGTAGCTTGCGGATTTGTCTGTCTAGGATGGCAACCTGAATTTCCTCGTATGACAAGTCCTTTGTAATTTGTACATCATCTGTGGGCACCACTCGGGTAGGATCACCAATGCACTTCCGTAGCACTGATACGTGAAAAACCGGATGGACAGACTCCAATTCTGAGGGTAATTCTAACCCATATGCTACTTGGCCCACTCTCTGAATGATCCTATATGGCCCAATATACCGTGGGCTAAGTTTGCTTTTCTTGCCAAACCTCATCACACCTTTCATAGGTGACACCTTTAAGAATACCCAGTCATTAACCCCGAACTCTAAATCTCATTGTCGCATGTCCGAATATGACTTTTGACGACTCTAAGCTGTCTACAGTCGCTCCCGGATAAGCTTTACTTTTTCTATGGCCTGCTGAACCAGGTCTAGCCCATGTAACCCAGATTCTCCAACCTCAAACCACTCTATAGGAGATCTGCACTTACGCCCATACAAAGCCTCGTATGGAGCCATCTGGATACTAGAGTGGTAACTGTTATTATATGCAAACTCGATAAGAGGAAGATGTTCATCCCAACTTCTTTTAAAATCCAGCACACATGTTCGTAACATATCGTCGAGCGTCTGAATTGTGCGCTCGGCTTGTCCATCAGTTTGTGGATGAAAAGCTGTGCTGAGATTCACCTGAGTTCCTAGACCTTTTTGAAATGACCTCCAAAAATGTGCTGTAAACTGGGCCCCACGGTCTGATATAATAGATATTGGCACTCCTTGTAGTCGCACTATCTCTTTAATATATAAGTTTGCATAATCTTCTGCTGTGTATGTAGATCTGACCGGTAGAAAATGAGCTGATTTTGTGAGCCTATCGACTATCACCCATATGGAATCGAACTTACGATGAGAACGAGGTAAAGCCGTGATAAAGTCCATGTTTATCGCCTCGATTCTGTGTTGTCTTTGATGTCTGATATTAAGGTAGTCTAATTCCAAAACAACTGCAGTTCTTTTGAGGAAGCAACCTCTCCCCTCCCATGTGGGTTCACCCCTGAGTATAATGCCTTAACGGCCTTTTAAGCGCCTGTCACAACGGACTCGACACAAATGGGGCGGGATTGGTCATGGAAGATCCTTAGACATAATAGCCCTCATTACAGGAACAAGGGATATGGAACTAACTAAGGATCTTAACATGTGACAGGAGACAGGAAAAAAGTCCTTAGTCACTCCGTTGGGGATCCGTATATGTTGTTCAGGTCGATTAGAAGGTGTAAAAATAGCTAGAACTGAATGTGAAAAGTATGGAAAAACATCTCGTAATGTATTTAACCAGAAAATAGATTATGCTCCTGCGGAAGTATCTACTCGTTTAATTGGCTCGCGTAAAGGCAGAAGAAAGAAAGCATGAACGAAAGAAAGCTGACCAGTGTCCCGATGTTAGATTCTGAAGAACCGACAGTTCTATTAGTGACCCATTCAAAAGAAGCTGGCTGCTTTGACTTTGATTAGCCAATCGAGTGTGGAGGGAGCTGTGCTCCTCTTCATTTGTTCCCATTAACGACCACAAAGCCCAATAGTGCTCCTGCTCGCTACTTGCCCACTTTCCCTTTTTTACTACTTTGACTAGCGCCCGGGGGTATATCGTGGAAATTTTTTGAAAGACAAGACTAGCCTGAGAGAAGACGGCCTCTCTCGGGAAAGATGGCCCAATTTCTCTTCTTACTTTTTTATTTCAGCTTTCTTTTTTTTTTCCAGGGGTCCAGAAGGCTAAAAGGTGGGGGAGACGGAAGCCGATTCCATGTCGGGATCTCTATAGTCTGCATTAGTCCTCCGGGCTTCTGGTGTTCTATCTTCGCCTGGTGGCAACTAGGACACTGAGCGAAATACTCAGCAATGTTCTTCTTCATATCGTTCCACCAACACACCTCCGTAATGTCATGATATATCTTCGTCAACCCAGGGTGAATGGAGTACCACGACTAATGTGCCTCTGACATAATCGTGTCTCGTAGCCCTGCTACATCTGGAACACACAAACAACCCCTGTATCTAAGAATCCCATCTCCCTTGAGTTCCAACAACGGCTTCTTCTGCTGCGGAACTCGCTCTCTCAACTCGACCAACATTGGGTCCTCGTACTGCCTCTCCTTTACTTCAGCTATGAGAGATGATTTTGTAGTATTTTGGAGTACAACTCCTCCATTGCCAGAGTCTACTAACCGAACCCCCAAACAAGCCAATTGATGAATCTCTCTAGTTAATTGTCTTTTTCCGGCCTCTACATGTGCTAAGCTACCCATAGATCGGCGACTTAAGGCATCTGCTACAACATTAGCTTTCCCTGGATGGTAGAGAATGTTAACATTGTAATCTTTCAATAACTCAAATCATCGCCTCTGTCGCAAATTCAACTCCATTTGCTTGAAGATATATTGCGGGCTTTTATGATCTGTGAACACATAGACATGAACATCACATAAATAATGCCGCCATATCATAAGTGCATGGTCAAACGTAGCTAATTCGAGGTTGTGGGTCTGATAATTCCACTCATGCTTCCTTAACTACCTTGAAGCATACGCATTTACTTTCCCATGTTGCATCAGGACACATCCTAACCCAACACCTGAGGCATCACAATACATGGCATAACCATCTGGACCCTATGGAAGTGCTAGAACTGGCGCTGAGGTCAACCTGTTCTTAAGCTCTTGGAAACTCTGCTCACAGGCCTCTGTCCACTGAAACATAGTCGTTTTCTGCGTCAGCTTTGTTAATGGTGCTGAAAGAGAAGAAAAACCCTCTACGAACCTCTAGTAGTATCCTGTTAAGCCTAGAAAGCTACGAATCTCGGTCGGAGTGGTAGGTCTAGGCCAGGATTTGACAGCCTCAATCTTCTGAGTGTCTACCTTTATACCTTCGTCGGATACAATGTGCCCCAAGAATGCTACAGACTTCAACCATAACTCACACTTAGAAAACTTAGCAGACAATTTATTATCACGGAGGGTTTGGAGTACGGCTCGCAGGTGGTCCACATGCTCATCCTTTGAACGTGAATACACAAGAATATCATCAATAAAGAGTACTACGAACAGATCTAAATATGGCCGGAATAGGCTATTCATCATGTCCATAAATATGGCAGGCGCATTCGTCAACCCGAAGGACATGACAAGGAACTCAAAGTGGCCATATCGGGTCCTGAAGGCTATCTTGGGAATTTCTTTCTCCCGAACTCTGACCTGGTGGTACCCCGACCTCAAATCTTTTTTTGAAAAGCATCTAGCTCCCTGAAACTGATCAAGCAAGTCGTCTATCCTTGGAAGTGGATACTTATTCTTAATAGTTACCTTGTTCAGTTGCCTATAATCGATACACATCCTCAGCGAGCCGTCTTTCTTCCGTACAAACAGTACCGGTGCACCCCAAGGTGAGGTACTGGGTCTGATGAAACCTTTCTCCAGTAAATCTTTTAACTGCTCCTTCAACTCCTTCAATTCGGTAGGTGCCATTCTATATGGAGGGATGGATATTGGTTGCGTTCTCGAAAGCAAATCTATTCCAAAATCAATCTCTCGCTCTGGCTGAATACCTGGAAGTTTATCTAGAAATACATCCACGCACTCCTTTACTACTGGAATAGACTGAAGTGTAGGTATCTCAGCATCTGTATCTTTAACTCGCACAATATGATAAATGCACCCTTTTGCGATCATTTTCCTCGCCTTTAGATAGGAAATAAACCTACCTCTGGGTGTCGCTGTATTACTTACCCATTCAAGGACTGGCCCACCCGAAAAATGAAATCTGATTGTCTTTGCTCGACAATCAACTGTGGCATAACAAGCTGCCAACCAGTCCATGCCCATGATAGCATCAAAATCCAACATCTCTAGCTCAACTAGGTCGGCTCAGGTCTGACGACCACAAACTGTCACCGTACAACCTCGGTAAACCCGTCTAGCGATAATCGATTCTCCGACCGATGTAGATAACTCAAAAGGATCACTTAGTATTTCAGGGACTATACCAAATTTCCTCGCGACAAATGGGGTAATACATGATAAAGTAGATCCTGGGTCTATCAAGGCATAAACATCGTGAGAACAAATGGTCAACATACCTATCACCACGTCTGGTGAGGACTCTTGGTCCTGTCGGCCTGCTAGCGCATAGATACGATTCTGGTTACCACCTGAACTGGACCCTCTACCTCTGCCTCGACCTCTACCTGCCGAAGACTGAGACTCGCGCCCTGAAAGATGCACGGACATAGCTGATTCTGTTGCTGAATTCGTTGGTTGCGCCATACCCCCTATTGACACCCAATTTTTTCCTATATATTTTTCAATATGCAAAATACCTTCAAAATAGCATATGTATGCATATATAAGTATTGCCAAGTGTTTTATTATTTTTTCCATAATTTTTTAAGGGTTTTAAATAAATTTATTTCCCTATTTTATCCATAAAACCCAAACAATAATTTCCAAAATTATTATTTTTGGTAGCTCATTTATTGAACTTTCACATTTATGCTAAGATATAGCTAAGGTACTTTTTGCATATTTTTACAAATCTATTTAGTATTTTTAAAGCTAAATTGCATATAATTGCAATATTAGCCTCTTTTAAGATTTAACTACGTTTATATTCATAAAATTAACTCCTGTATTTTTAAATTGTTAATTATATATTATAAATCATTTTAGTAATTTTAATTTGTTTTCAATAATTGATTTATTATTTTTTATAAATTAAATCGGGAAAAATGGCTATTTAAAATCTAGCCAGATTTGGCTTGCAATTTCAGCCTAAAATTGGGCCCAAATCAGACCCAATTTTCCAACCCAATTGCAACCCAAACCCGACCCCTAACCCAACTAAACCTACCCAAACCCGGATCCCCACCTAACCCCTTTAATCCCTACCGTTGATAATTTAGATCAACGGCCACCAGCTTCCCTTTCATTTTTAATTCCAAACGACCCCTTACCCTACTTCATTATTCACCTACCGCCGCCCTTGAATTCCCTCTTCTCTCTCAATTCTCTCCAAAACTCTCATGAACCCTAGCCGCCGCCCTCTCACCCCACCCTAATACCTGCCTAATTTATGACCTTCCGTGGTCATTTGAGTCCTGTACCAGCCTCCCATGGCTCCTATGTGTTGGGTTCTATGCTTTCATGACCAGAACTCGAAGGAGTCTGGTCCAGTCCTTGCTCGACTGCTGTTCATGGCTTTTCTCCGGTCATCCCTGACTTTTCTCCGGCCAGCCATGGCCGTTCGAGTCAGATCCTTGTCTCTTCTGGTTAGATCGGTAACTTTCAAGGCCTTTCTTACCTTTTCTGGGTTTTTCGAAACCCTAACCTTTAAGACCTTTCGATTTCTTTCAGATCTACTTTAGATCTGTACTTGCTATGAGTGTTTTAAGTCTTTTCTCGAAAGTTTTCAACTTTCTTTCAAAACGACCCTTCATCTTCTCCGATTAGGGTTTTCCTTTAAGTTTTTCTTTTCAAAGATCTCTGATTTTAACGTGTTTGTGATTTTGCTAAGTTTTGCTCATGTTGTTCTTCTATTTGCTTCAGCATGTTAAAACCCTAGTTCCTTTTATGGTCTCATTCGAGTTCTGAAACTGTTTGTTAGATGTGTACTTGTTTGATTTATTTGTTTATCATCTTTTAAAATCGATTACTATTGAAAACCCTAGGTCTTTTTGGTCTGAAACTGTTTGTTTGAGTATGCACTTGATTCGACTAAAGTTCTTTATTTCTGACTCTCTCTTTCTTAGGTGACTTATCTGATTTTTACTATCTTTCAACTAGACTGTGGTTGAAACCCTAATCTCTCAAAGGGGTTTCGCCACTTGTTACTGCAAGACCTGTACTTGTTCCCTCTTCTACACTTTGGCTACATGTGTGAGCCTTGAC